TCTCATTAGGTGGCCAAAGTACTTGAGTTTCAACTTCAGGATCTGGCCTTCTAAAGAGCAGTCAGGGTTGATCTCCTCTAGGACTGACCGGTTGGATCGCCTTGCAGTCCAGGGGACTCGCAGGAGTCTTCTCCAGCACCAGAGTTCAAAGGCCTCCATTCTTTGGCGCTCAGCCTTTCTTATGGTCCAACTTTCACAGGCATACATTGCAACTGGCAAAACCATGGCCTTGACTATACGCACTTTTGTTGGCAGGGTGATGTCTGCTGTCTAGATTTTAGCAAAGAGAATGCTAGTCCAAGTCATGGGCAGATCCCCCCAGGAGGGAGAAGAAGGCTGTGCTGGAGTCCGTGGAGCACTTCCATTCGTCACCAGCAGTGCCAAAGTCACCTTGTGTTTTGACACTCCCGATGTTAACAAAACGACAGTTCTCCTGGCAGATGTTCCTCGGCCTTCGTAGTTCAATCCTGGTGGTGCTCCAAAAATCTTGAATAAGGGAGTCCTCACTTAATGACTTTTCTAAGTTACAATAAAGCCCCCCCCCCAAAAAAAAGATTGTGAAGTTCCGATGGCTGCACACATAGCCGCCCCCATCCACCCTGCAGTCACACGATCCCGTTTTGGGTGTTTAGCAAACCGGCTTTATGGCAGTTTGCGGCGTTACACAATCGTGTGATCGTGATTTGTGACGGTTTTTTGTTGTTGGGGTTTTTTTTGGCTGGTTTCCAGCTCTTGCTCCCAATTTCGAACGAAACCAGCCATTAAGTAAAATGGTTTTTGCAGTGTTAATGAACGTTGCATTCACTGCCCTGAAAAATACCATAAAATAGGGTGTGTCACATGGTGACCTACTTAATGATCCCAACCCTATAATTCTGGGTTCAAATAATGGCTATAAGTCAAGGAACACCTATAAATATAAGGCCAGTTCCACATACATCCATAGATTTTTGCAGAGGCATGGATTTAACTGCCAGATTTATACAGATTAATCACCAAATTATGTTTTCTGAACAGGTATTTATTGATTTACTTCAGTTCTAGGCAGCACAGCAAGGTGAGAGGTTTTTTCACCCAATTTGTTTATTCAAGTGGACAGAATGTGTCAGATTCTTACATAGCTCTTCTTTGTTAAATATAACTATCTGGTTTTTTTTACCTAGATCATATTTATAGCATGTGGTTTTTTTTTTCCAACGTATGGCTAAGCCTTCTACATGTAGTAAAACTTCATACATATCGGTCCGATGTTCAGTATATCAAATTATAGGAAGTGAATTGGCCCACAAATCCATAGTAGGCTTAAAATATCGGCACTCCGAAACCAAGTTTTGATTATAGTTGAGTAGCACCACTCATAAATGAAGACCGACTGTTCTCCTACTTCAGTGATGGTGAACCTTTTAGAGACCGAGTGCCCAAACTGCAACCCAAAACCCACTTATTTATCTCCGGGTGCCAGGTGGGGGTGGCTCACTGAGTGGGCGTGGCTGTGGTCATGGCAGACTGGGTGGGTGTGGCCAAAGTGGGCGTCGTCACCTTGATGTTGCTCGTGGGGAGAGATGCCTGTGGGGGTTGGGGGAGATCCAGGGAGATGCCTGTGGGGGTTGGGGGAGATCCAGGGAGATGCCTGTGGGGGTTGGGGGAGATCCAGGGAGTCTCTGGCAGGTGGGGCGGTGGGCAGGAGGCTCGTCCTGCGGGGTGAGGCTGAGCAAAGCGAGGCAGAGGGGGGGTGCCATTGTCGCAGGGCAAGGCAAGGCATAGGCCGGGGCGGCTGCTGTCTGACATCATTGGCCCCTGCACACAGAAGCCAGTGAGCGCATGGGGGCCACAGCCTGCCGGCCCCTCGACCAGCGCACTCTGGGGCTCTGCAGCCCACCGCCAGCAGTTCAGAGAAGTCACCTCTGAGCTGGACAGCCGGCCGACAGCTGAGAAGGCGATGCAGTGGGTCGTGCCTGGGAAAAGGAGAGCATGCGAGGCCAGGAGAGATGGGATGGGGGGGAGGAAAATCAGCCATGCTGGGATGCATCCAGCCACGTGGGACCTCGGCGAGTTAGTGGGCGGCTGGTTGAAGAGGGAGGGTTGCCATCTCTGGGGCATGGCGCGTGTGCCCACAGAGAGGGCTCTGAGTGCCGCCTCTGGCATGCGTGCCATAGGTTCACCACCACTGTCCTACTTATCTTAATTTGGGGACACAACGTTGCTTAACAACAAAGTTACATCAGTGCTGAACAAATGGGACTTAACTCCTAGTCCCCCAAAGGTATGGATGGACACGCGATCAAAATTGGCATACTTGACGGCCCGCCCACACTTCTGACCCCAGGACTGCTTCAACTCCACTTGTCTATCTCCCCACCGCCTCTCCCCTTTTTTGGTCACCCTGCGTGGTGATGCTGGGTCTGAGGTAGAAGGTCCCAGAAGCTTTCCGAAGGCTTTCCAAAGCGTTGTGAGAGCAGCCCGCACGATTTGGAGAGCGGTGGGGTTGGCCTTCTTGCGAGGTTTCAGAAGGCACCAGAAGCCTTCTGAAGCATCACGACAGGGGCACGGGCTATTGAGAGCAGAGGTCCCCAACCTTTTGGGCACCAGGGACCGGTTCCGTGGAGGGAGGTTTTTCCGCGGACCGGAGGGGGGCGGCGTAGTTTTGTGTGCTGCCTGCAACTCGCGGATGGGGCTTTGCTTGTTTGTGTGGACCGGTTGCTAACATGGCGCGGCCTGGTACCGGGGTTGGGGACCCCTGATTTAGAGAACGGCACAAGCAGCCATGGGAAGAAGGCCTGGCATGGGCAGGAGCTGCCTTGCGTAGGGCCAGGCTGGGCGCACCTGGTCAGCAGCGGGAGAAAGGCAGCGAAGATCAGCTGGATGCGGGCAGGGCCTGCAGAGCGCAGGGTGGCAGGACCTGCTCCGTGGTGTTGAAATGGCTGTTTGCTTTCACAGGGATGGAGGATGCACTTCTTGGCAGCGGTGCTGGGGCTTAAGTAGAGGACTGGGAGGGGGGGCAGTGCCAGCTGACCGCTGAAGGCCCCAGGCCTCTCCTTCAGTTTCAGTGCCACCGCTCCCGAGGAGTGCTGCTTGTGCAGGTAGCCAAAATGGCAGATAAGGGGCAGGGAGGGGGGAAATGGGGAAGGAAGCCCCTTACCTTACCAAGACTTGGGGCTGGAAAGGACCAAGTCAGGAGTGGTTGGGATTGGGGTGGGTCCTCACTTAACGACCAGTGGGTGTCATGGTTCCGACAGATGAAACTCTTCAAAGAACTTTGAGGCATTGTTGGCCTTAAAGGATCTTTATTTGAGAAGCATAGCATCGGCATTAACCCAATCGAAGCCAAAATCTGGATTCCCCTCCCCTGAGCACCTAGTATCAAAGCACAATTCCCTCCTCCAATTCACAGTCATAAATCACATTCCCCAATTAGCTTGAAATGCAGGCTTTCCCTCCAGTTCTCCAGCCCGCCAATTCTTACCATCTCTTATTTCATTAACCTTGGTTCTCACACCAAGTACGGTATTGTTATGTCTTTCTGAACTCTCATGCACATTCCTCACCCCCCCCCCCACAGCATCATCTAACTCTAAAAGGAAAATATAAGAAGAAAATGGTTGCCTTTCTACCGTTGTCGAAGCAAAAACATCCGGAATGTTAGCAGCGTTGACAGCGGGGGTTCTGTTAACAACCGCACTGGGAACTGCCGAGATTGCCATCATTGAGCAATGTAGTCCTGGGCTTGTCTACAGAGGAATTTCCTGACAGAACAATTGATCAGTGGTAGAGCTTGACCCTGGAATTTTAAGGTTTTGAAGAAGAGACTGGACAGCCACTTGCCTGAAGTGGTATAGGGTCTCCTGCTTGTGCAAGAGGTTGGGCTAGAACAAGGCTTTTCAACCAGTGGTACGGGTACCACCGGTGGTACATTGGCACCTGGCAGGTGGTACGTGACCATCCCAAAAAAATGGTAGCGGGGAGGGGAATGAGCTGAACCGGTGGCAGCACTACACAAGCCTGAGTGAGAGATGGCTGGAGCTGCAGGGCTGTCGGGGCTCAGCGGAAGCGCCAGGATCAGTGCCAGGTTCCAGCTGGAGCTCGGCGCTGATCCTGGCACTTCTGCTGAGCCCAGAAGAAGCACCGATCAGCTGGAATGTTGCAGCCTCTCCAGGGTCTTGTGATTTACATTCAGATGCTTGGCAACTGATTCATATTTATGACGGTCACAGTGTCCCAGGGTCATGTGAAGTGACCAAAACCTGCTGCAATCACCCAGCAGACGGGGGGGGGGAAATAAAAACCAAACACCCCCCACCCCACCCCCGCTGCCAATCCTCAACAGAAATGCTCACAACAATGAAAACCTCAGACAGGAGGAAGAGCGCCGCCGGATGGGCAGGCAGGTGTCTTGCTCGGCTGTGGCTTGGGGGGCTCTTTTTTCAGTGCCATTGTAACTTCGAACAGTCACTGAGCAAACTGTTGTAAGTCGAGGACTACTAGTACTTCATCAGTTTTTTCCTTTTTGGGGGGGGTCATCATGTTTTTGACACCTTGCTAGGCGACTGATGGTACTCGGATGTTGCCATATCCTAAAAGTGGTACAATGGGTGAAAAGGTTGAAAAGCCCTGGACTAGAAGACCTCCAAGGTCCCTTCCAACTCTCTTATTCTATCTTCTACTTTCTACTTCCGGCTTCTGTAATAAAAGTTCTTGTGCCTTTTGTAAGTTGTAATATCCAGAAATTTAAGACGGTTGCCTGGTACAAATTGAGACGAGGAATGTAAAACTAAGTAGTCCGTTCTTCTTTTTTAAAATGTCCCGCTTCGGAAGAAGATGGCGTATTGCTGATTTCTTAAATTTCTTTCTTTTTCTAGCCCAGCAGACCCGGTTACCCCAGTCCAAGATCAAGTGAAGGATTTTATCCCAGTCCACAGCACATGATACAACCCAATCACTACCAGGTAAAACAACACAGCCCCTCTTCCATCGCTTTAATACTTTACAGTCCAAAGTGTTTGTAGGAGGAAAGAACAATATTATTTATGTTCGGGGGCTTGGGGTTTTTTTTTTTTGGTTTATTAACTAGGTTTAAAGATATATGATTAAGGGAGCAGCCAATACAAGTGTGGACTATGAGTAATCATGATGTATTTCCCAGAGAATTTAAAGTACGCCCTCCTTTTGGCTGAGGGCAGAAAAAAACCCCCCACATTTAATTAATATTACATTCAATTAACAGGATTTTTTTTCCTATTACGCCTTTGAAAATTTGGTTACTCTTTCACACTGAAAGTTAGAATTTGGCCAAAGCTTGTAGAGATCTTGTGAGACTCACCCAAGGCTTTTGAGGACTATTTGTAGTCCTGAGTCCTTTTAGAATCATTTGGGGATAAACAGGGGGTTAAAAATGAAGCACTGTGAAGGGACGTTGAAGGAGCAGGTATCCCTTTGAAAAAGGCAAGCCCCCCCCCCCATTATAACAGTCTCCCAAATTTTGATCTCACAACTGTAGGGATACTGCAACAGTTGTACGTCAGGACCAGTCATAAGTCACTTTTTCTCGTGCTGTTGCAACTTTGAACAGTTGCGAAACGAAGGGTTGTAAGCTGAGAACCACCCGTCCATAAGTAGAGGTCCAGATCTTTTCCCTCAAGTCCAGATAGAGGGACATGAAATACGGGATTTAAATAACCCTGCTTGATCCAGAGAATTTGCCATTCCCCCTCTTTGATCGTGCGCTAAGTTGCAAAGGTCACACAGGCTTGAAAGTAACTTAAGATTGCGCCTCCTTACGTACCGTATACTGTCGCCCTGCCTATTTAACTTATATGCAGAGG